TTTCATAACTTGCTAATGACCCTTGCTCGGATCATGCATGAACCTGCTTACCACACTAACTGCTTCTGAAATGTCGGGTCTCGTACACACTATTGCATATATCAAGCTACCAACTGCATTAGCATATGGGACTTTTGCCGTGTATGCTCGCTCTTCATCTGTCTTTGGAGATAATAGGCTACTAAGTTTCAAATGAGGAGCAAGCGGAGTGCTTACAGGTTTTGAATCTCCATTCATACCAAACTGTTGTAGTGCCTTCTCCAAATACTGCTTCTGTGTGAGACAAAGTTTGCCTCTCATTCTATCCCTACTTATCTCCATGCCAAGAATTTTCTTGGTTTCTCCCAAATTCTTCATCTCAAACTATTTACTCAACTGAGCCTTCAATTTGTCAATTTTAACTTGACTTTTTGACGCTATCAACATATCATCAACATACAAGAGTAAGTAGATATAGGACCCATCTCGTAGCTTGTGCAAATACACACATTGATTGTATTTGCTTCTTGTGTACTTCTGGCCCATCATGAACTAGTCAAATTGTTTGCACCATTGCTTCGGTGATTGCTTCAATCCATACAACGATTTGCTCAACTTGCAAACCTAATTCTCTTTACCAGCAACTTTTAATCCATCTGGTTGAGACGTATAGATTTCTTTCTTCAAGTCACCATGAAGGAATACAGTCTTCACATCAAGTTGAGCTAACTTCAAATTTAATTGTGCTACCAAGGCCAACAGGATTCTAATAGAAGAATGTTTAACAACTGGAGAAAAGACCTCATTATAATCAACTCTTTCCTTCTGAGCGTAGATTTTAGCCACCTATCTTGCCTTGTAGTGGACATTATTCTTATCAGAAAATTCTTCTTTCTTTGCAAATACCTATTTGCATCCAATTGCCTTCTTGCCCTTCGGTAGTTATGTCAACTTCCACGTCTTGTTCTTCTAAAGAGATTGCATCTCTTCTTCCATAGCATCTTTCCATCTACTATTCTTTGTACTTCGAACTGCTTCAGGAAAAGAGGATGGAACATCAACAACTAGAAGTGCATAGGCCACCATATCAGCAAAATGAGCAGGTTTTGAATTTCTTGTCTTAGCCTATTGACGGCAATTGACTCTTGCTGCTATTGAGGTTCTTGGATTGAAACCTCTTCCTCATCTGACTCCTCTTCTGCCATGAGAGAGTTACTGATGGTGCTGTTCGCTAGGCTTACCATTATCTCCTCAAACTCCACCTGTTTCGGCGTACACTCCACCTGTTGCGGAGTACCACTGGTCCCATCTTGCGCTACCTTATTTAACGTCACAAATTCATCAAATGTAACATCCCTACTGATAATGATCTTCTTTGTTTCTAGACACCATAAACGGTATCTCTTAACTCCAGTATTAAAACCCATAAAGAGAGATTTCTTTGCACGTGGATCTAATTTTGATTCATTTACATGATAATATGCAGTAGAACCAAAGATATGCAAAGAATCAGTCTATTGCAGGTTTTCCAAACCATACCTCTAACGGAGTCTTGCCACCTACTGCAGATGATGGCAAACAATTGACTAGATGTTGAGCGTATGTCACAACCTCAGCCCAAAACTTTCTGCCTAACCCAACATTAGATAGCATGCAATGAACTTTTTTCACTAGTGTCTTGTTCATACGCTCTGACATCTCATTTTGTTGCTGTGTTCTCTAACTGTGAAGTGCCAAACTATGCCACACTCCTGGCATATCTCCTGGAAGGAATCACTCTTGTATTCTCCACCGTTGTCTGTTCGGAAAATCTTGATTTTTCTTCCCGTCTGGTTTTCAACCTAAGCTTTCCATTTAAGAAAAATTCCTAGCACATTATCCTTGTTCTTCATAGTAAACATCCAAACTCTTCTGAAAAAATCATCAACAAAAGTGACAAAATAGTACTTGCCTCCAAGGGATGGAATCTTGCCAGGTCCCCATACATTTGAATGCACATAATCCAAAATACGCTTGGTATTATGGATGCCAGTGCCAAATTTCACTCTTCTCTGTTTTCCCAGAACACAATACTCACAAAATTCTAATTTGCAAGCTTTCATATCTTTCAACAATCTTTGTTTGGCAAGATTTTACAAGGATTTTTTACCAGCATGTCCCAACTGCATGTGCCACAACTTTGTTGCCTCCGCATCTTTCTTGCTACTAGAAGATGTTGCTGTTGTTGCTGTTCCAACAACTATACTACCTTGGTAGTAATACAGATTATTCTTCCTCACACCTTTCAACATCACAAGGGCTCTCGAAGTTGATTTAAGAATTTCATCTCGTATCATCACAATCAGACCTTTTGACCCCAAGGCTCTCAAAGAAATGAGATTCTTTTTCAAATTCGGCACGTACCGAACATCCTTCAGGATTCTGGTGGATCCATCATGACTACGCAGCTTGATTGAACCTATCTCAACTGTTTTACATGGATTATCATGTAAAAACTCCACCATCAAGTTTTTCAAATTCAAAAAATCACTCCCGCATGGGAGACATATGGTAGGTATAATCTGAATCCAAAATTCACTCATCTGGATAGGATGTTGAAGGTGATACAGCCAAAGAGAAATCTAATTCCACATTACTTTTGCACTCTGCAACATTTACATCTTGAGAAGTTTTTCCTTTCTTGTTTAATTTTGGACAGTCTTTCTTCCAGTATCCTTTCTCATGACAGAAAGCACACTTATTTTTGGCAACTCTATTTTTCGATTTGGGCCTTCCTCTTCTCCTCTTTGATTGCCTTTGCTGACGACCTCTTGCCACTAACGCTTCATCTACTATAGTTACTTTGTTTTTCATTTTATTCTGCTTCTTAATTCATGACTATACAAAACAGAACATACAACATCTAATGACACATTCTCTTTCCCATGAAGTAACGTAGTCTCCAAATATTCAAATTCATCAGGAAGGGATGACAACAACATCAAAACCAAATCTTCATCTTCAAATTTCACATCTAAATTTAACAGGTCTGCTACTAACTAATTAAATATAGTAATGTGTTCATTCATAGTAGTACCTGGTCGGTAATCGAATCGGAACAACCTTTTCTTTATAAGGAGCTTATTCTAACCACTCTTCTTCAAAAACTTCTCCTCTAATGCCTTCCACAATTTCTATGTAGAAGTCTCGTTCTTGAAAGCATACTTTAGCTCTCTAGACAAACATGATCAAATAGTTCCGCATGCTAACCGATTTATGATACTCTACTCCTTCTCTTCTATGTTATCTAGTTTCTTTTCTTCAATGGCAATGTCAAGGCCCTGTTGGAAAAGAGAATCTATGACCTCGCCTTACCACATGCCGAAATGGTCAGTACCATCAAATATCTCCACCGCTAACTTCAAACTTGACATTGGAATTCTCGACCATGTAGACGAGGAAGCCGATGCCCCAGATGTAATTTTTGACATGGACTCATTTGTCCGTGAATCGTCTAACGCCATTACAGACTCAAATGGTAGTATTCAATATAACAAATTACACATAAGCCAAAGGACGAACCTTCGACTTTGATACCACTTGTCAGAGAAACTGATTAATTTCTCACTCAAAAATTACAACTACCAAATAAATGCGTAATAAAAGAGATAAGAAAATAACACACCTGAAATTGATAATGGAGTTCGGCCAAATGTGCCTAATCTCCGAACACCGCCTAAGCAACCTGCTCTTATTGATTTGGGAGAAGAAAGAATACAAAATTTTTGGTGTATTACAATTGGGAGGGGAAAGTGTTAATTTATAACTCTCAAACACTCCCCCCAAGACCCATCCCACCGATGTGGGACAAAAACTTATGCCAAAAAGTCAACATTAGTAGGCTTTCTTGATCTTCACACAGCAAAGGCAGCAAAAGCATAGGAATAAGAGTGAGATTTGATGCTCAAAAATGCACCAAAAAATGCCTTTACGTATCCAAAAAAAATGGAATACTAAGTGTCACTACAACTGTATTGATGACCAAATTTGTTCTAATTGAAGGACTCATAATTCTGCTATTTGGGCAATGAAATGCATCTTCAACTGCCATTGCAATTGGAGTGAGATTAGGGGATAGCTAGTTAATGATTGATCAATGTGGACCATGTAGTATAAATCACAATTTTGAAGGAAGTACTCGTACAAAATCATTGTCCCTTAAATTGTAGTTTTGCGAACAGCATCCAGAATTGCACTGCAAGGGATGAAAAATCATGGTATTATACAAAAATTTGGTAAAAGATGAAACCCTTACATGGAGTACATATCAAAACGAAGAAAAATTACATACTATGATTGACCAAATCATGAAACTGTACTTGTAATCAAAATCTTGAAATCATTGGTGCCAACTAGTTGAAAGAATTCTGTCAATCGATGCATAATGTCCCTTTGACAATATGGTACCATAGTTGTCTAGAAATTTTTTAACCCAAGCTTCTTCCCAAATTTAGAGCTCATTGATTTTATGCAAGTAGAATTGAGACTATTTTGTGATTTGATGATTTATAAGTTCTACAATAGGGTATTTTCTTATTAGTCGGAGTCTATTCTTTATTCTTTATTAGTAGGAGTTTATAAATGTATTAAGAGTTTGTCAACTTGTACATAAAATAATGAGGCTATAATATAGGAGTAGTAAACACAATTAAGCAAGGATATATTAGGAAGCACATAAAAGAGAAAAAATGCGATTATATAATATAGTAACAGAATAGATATATGATATAGAAAAGAAAGGTCCTTGAGTTTGTATACTTTTAATTCCAATTGCATCACAAGCACAAATTTACTACTCATTTACTCCTTATCTTATGACTTCTCATTTGGCTTCAGTATAACGGGAATGTGTAGAGCATGTAACTGACATCGTTTCTTATGATAGTCTTTTTTTTCAGCTTCTATCTGCCCTCGCCTTCCCAATTCAGCCTCGTTTACGTACCACCCTCTCAGCCTCCTTCTTGCTATGCAGTCTATTACCATTAAAGATAATGAATTGCGACTTTTGTTGCCTTGTCCTCAGCAATCACATGTAGTAGTCCATTTGTGTCAACCTTAAAAGTAACCCCAATTTGTGGCACTCCCCTACGACAGGATAAAACTAAGAGTAATTAAGAAAGAAAAGAAGAAATACCATTGAATTAGAACAGTACTACTTAAAGAGAAAAAAAGACCAGGTGAGCCAAGAATGAATCAATCATAAGTTTAATCAACCTTTTGGGGTACAATATTGTCATCAACTATGAGATCAGAAGAACCTTGAGAAAAACTTAATTCAAGATTCTATATATTGTTTCTCACCTTGGAGCAGGAGGAATGTCAGATAACTCAAATCTCCCCGACTCCTGACCATCCTTTGTTAATCTCCCCTCATCTTTAAATTGAAACCTACCCAACGTGAGAATAAATCTTTTTCTTAGTGAAGCATGCAAGAAAGTATCTTATGAGTGTTGTTGTCATATTATGTCCAATGTAAAATAACAAGAGCCATAGATGCCTTAATAGAAACAATAGTTTTTCGGTCTTGATTTGTTGTGACAACTTGAGAATTTTAGTAGAAAAGTCAGAACCACTTGAAATCACCGGTTCCGTGACTCCTCCTTCAGTCTCAATACCTAGGCTGTAGGGCATTAATTCTGGTCCCAATATATTGAATTCTGGTTCCAATATAATATTTGCAGGGAAAAAAGGATAAACATAGATAGAATCATATTTTATTTACATTATTGGATAAAGTGATCGTAAACCTATACAGGATTGATGCTTTAGATTCATTTTTATACGTCTCTTGGCTTCCTTCTTCTCTCCCATCCTCCTTCCATTTTGGTCTCTGACCTTAGGAATATTACTATTCGTTCCTCCAAAGAGCACAATTTCATGGCTGTTAGTTTCCTCTGAACCTTTAATTTTGACTGCTTGCTTTAAAGGCTTAATCACATTCTTTTTAGATAAATCCATTCGAATCAGTTATTCTCCCAACACTCTTGTTGTGAATCTAAGGTTCATGATCAGCTGCTATTGACAGTGATGTCATCAACATGAATCCTTCAAAAATGCACAATTGATGTTAGGGATGCTATATTCTTATCTCTGTTCAGTGGGACTCAAAAATTCAAAATGACCTTGAACAAATCAGAACGAAATGAAGGAAAAAAAACTTCAAAATCTGATGATGATCCTTAGCTAATTAAACTAGTTACAGGGCTTCCTTGATAAACTTCAATGAATAAATTCCAATTATGCACTCTTAACTCCACTTTGCATCCTAAACTTATACCACTTTTTCACTTTGCACTCTAAACTTCAATTTTACACACTTTGAATCCTAAACTCTCGATTTTGTCACATTTAAATCCCATCAATGACAATGTTAGTAAAATTAACAGCATAGAAGATCCCATAAATTAATGATAAGTTGTTGAAAGTGGTAAAAAATAATCAAGGTGTCACAGTTGGAATAAAATGATTGTCATTAATTTCTATTGTCTTTTATTTCGCCAATTTTGCTAGCAATGTTATTGATTCAAACCATATAAATCAATAACAATATGCTGAAAACAGCCAATAAAGATATGAGATTGCTATTAGAACGGAATGATACATTATCATTAATTTGCATCATCATTTATCTCGTTAATTTTGATAACGTTATTAATTATTGATTGAACTTAAATCTCACAACCTTGAAAGTTTAAAGTGTAAATTGTCCAATATTGAGAGTTTGAATGTGCGAAGTGTCCATAATTAAAATTTAGAGTGCAAAATGGGAAAGTGGTACAAATTTAGGGGTGCAAAGTAGAATTAGTCCTATTCAAAAATGATATAAATTTGTTGTTATTAAAGCTGTGAAAAAATATGGACGCTAACTCAACAGAATTAAAGTATTTGAAAATTAGCTTTGGCTATTTGTACCTCAATATTTAGATGATGTTTACCATCACTTCTCCACACTAATCTCGTATACTCCAATTTGAGATTTTGAACTCAATGACCACAAATTCACAAAATACTATAGTATGCAATCAAATTTTACCTGGCTTTAAATCGAGTTATGCTGATTGACTTATTTTTCTTGATAAAGTAACTTTCATTGTGGACAAGTCGCATAGAGCCGAGTTGTGGTCAAACTACCTAATTAAGTAAAGTTATAGACACTCAAGAACAAATTGAATTATCGTTGATGGGAGAAATTTTTTGAAGATTTCAGATCCACAAGCATAAAAATACGTAATCAAGTACTTGTATCATTGCCCATGTTGAGTTTAATGCTTCTATTTATTTCTATACCTAAGCTGACAATATTCTACATAAATTTTCTTTGAAGTATCATGAGAAATAATTGCACATTTTACAATAAAACGGGCCAACTTAAAGTACTAACAGCGATATTTACTACCAAAAAAAGAAGAAGAAGAGAGTTATAATTATAGGATCAAATTCATAATTAAAGAACTATGTCTGGCTAAAGTTGAGATCACACAACTCAGAGATCTCAGATTCAAATTCCATTTCTTCTTCTTCACTTTTTTAAATTTCACTTCTCCCTGCTAAATTTTTCAAAAAAAAATTGAAGAACTATGTCGAGATTTTGTAGTTTTGGATATGTACAAGGACCCTAAAACAACAAAGATATTGTAAGATCATGACCGTAGGAAACCAAGAGATACACTAAAAGTTATGGGTCCGTCGAGGGCACTGAAACGAGAACCAAAAGAAAAAAATAGCAGAAAGCAAAAGCAGAATAGGACATAAATTACCTCAAACAAAGAGAAGAACCCATAACGCTTGGCTCTCATTGTAACACATTCTTCTTCTAATCTTTTCTCGGAGGTCTCTCTCTTTTATTCACACCTCTTTTTATTTATTTATTTATTTTTGGCATAGTTTGCCTATTTCAGCGAGCTAAAATCAAAGATAATTGAACAATTTCTAGTAGGGAGGCCGAATTAAAGGGGCTTATTTATTGTTGCTGAAAGTTGTTGGGTGGTAAAAAAGTATTGACCAAAGTATTCTAGTCAACGTCACCAAAACACACACAGTTTTTGTTTACATCTTAAAGTGGAGAATTTACACTTTAAGAAATTGGGAGACAGAATGGGAGATTAAAACTCAAAAATTTTTAAATTTTGGAGCCTCAGTTTCAACTTCAACCTCTGAATCAAGGTTTGTTCGACATCTTCCATTGGTTTTGACTTTTAAGTTGTTAAATTGTTGTAAAGATTGTTTACATCTACTGGTTAAAAGTGTACATCAATGTATTTTTGTGTACACGATGAAGTGGATTAATTTAACACCACTCTAAGTATTCGAAAATTTCTCTTTTGAAATCTTCACCTTTATCTTAATTGGATGCATTGCAAACCTGAATTACTTCTCAAATTTTGAGATTTCGATTGGTGTAACCCGAAATTCACAAAATATCAATAGTGATATGATCGAGTTTAGATGCCATTTTTCGAGTTCTGGTCATTTACTTCTTCTTCAGGATAAAGTAATTTTGACATGTGACTTGAAAACAAAAGGCTAAAGGAAAAATAAAAGGAAAATTTGTCAAATTATTCCCAAACATTTTCCAAAATAACTTTTTTAGTTCTCAACATTTAAAATCAGTCAAAATTGTCCCTAACATTTAAATTATGATCCATTTTGGTTCTAATGCTTGTATTTTCTCATTTCTCTGATCGAAAATAGCACGCCTCTCACACGTGGGCATATTTTCAAGGGTAAAATTGAAAAACACACTTCATTTCCGGTTGAAAGTAAAAGTACACAGGACCACCACCCCCTTTTCACCTATCCTTGACCTAATTACAGTCTCAAGAAGCCCTAGTTCCATGCATCCCCTAATTAACAAGCATAACCTGAGGAATTATAGTGATGATGATGACAACGAGAAAGCTGTAGGCATGTGATTGAGGAACGATAGAAGGTTTAACAAGAAAATCGGGAAGAAAATCTTCAAAAAGATGCAGAAGGAATCAGGAAAATGGAACTTCACAATGGATTATGGTAAGTTTTTTTGTTTTACTAATGTGTTTAATAAATTTATAACTGTGGCCAAATCTTGCTTAGGACTGTGTTTTACTTTAATTAATTGAAGATTGTTCATTATTTTACTTATTTTTGCTGTGGTCCACAATTTTTATTATGAAAGGCTCCACCTTTCTGTCGTGGTCCCAAAGTAATTGTCGCCTTAATGGCTGACACGGGCCAATGAGATGCGTTTTTCTATTTGCATACAATTTGGAGGTGAACTTAGAGATATAGAAAATAAAGACTATATAGGGGGTTTAGTTGACATAGTTGATGGTTGTGATCTGGAAAAATGGTCTCTGTGTAAGTTAGACGAAGTAGCTAACAAACTTGGATTTCAGCTTCTTACAGTGGGCTACTACTACCTGATTCCTGGTAGAAATATGGCTGATGGATTAGTGTATATGTTGCAAGAGGATGATGCTGCTGAATTGGCCAAATTAGGGATGATGTATTGGTTAGTTGCTGTGTTCTTCATTCATCGAAGAACATATAATCTGCTTCGTTTTGCTGTTGATGAAGAAGGAAGAAGAAATGATAGTAATAGGAATAATCAAGAAGATTCTGTACATGTGGCCACACCAGAGAATGTTCAAGAAGATTCTGTACATGTAGCCACACCTAATTTTGCTACTGATGGTGGTTTTCAAGAAGCTAACACGGCCGGTGGAACTCCTTCACATACTGGTAAGAGAATGAAACAGATTGTGAAGAAGAAAACCACACCTACAAAAAGATTTAAAATGCAGCAAAGGAAAAATGATATTGGCTATCAAGATGTTGCTGTTGAAAGTGCTGTTAGCAGCAAGAGTGGATCATGCCAAAGTGCTTCTCAAATCGAAAACAAAAGTAAGCATGGTGAACATGAGACTAGTAGAGTTACAGACACTGATGCTGCTAAACATGAAACTAATGCTGGTGAATATGAGACTGCTGAATCTACAAAAACTGATGCTGGTGAACATGCAACTGATAGAGCTACAGAAATTGATGTTAATGTAAAAGAAAGACATCGCAAGAGTAGACAAGAAAGAAGAGCACCAACTAAGTCAAGAAAGACATCCAGTAGAAATGTTGAAGGTAAAAAATTGTTCAAAAAAAAGTAGGGATCAGACCATAGAGGATGTAGTCTCAAGTGATCCCGAGAGTCTGTATGATAGCGAATATGCTATAAGTGATGAAGAAGAGCTAATGAAATCAATTAGTGAATACCTGCAGATTGGGCTAATGTTGCTAAACAGTTCAAGATAGCAAATAAAGGTAAAGAAAAGGTACAGGAAACTACTGTTAATGAAAAAGATAATGAGTGCAGTATGGAGGAGTTGGATAATTCATCACATGATGGGTTGCACAGCAATGAGAGTTTTGGAGATGAAAAAGGGAGTAAGGATGTGGACGAGAAGAAATTTAGGGTGTTTAACCCTGCAATAGAGATGGATGACCCCAAGTTTGAACTTGGGTTGTTATTCAAGTATAAAACTGACTTTATCAATGCTGCAAAATCAGATGGAGTGAAGTACGGAAGGAAAATCAAGTTTAACAAAAATGATTCAAGTAGATGCAAAGCCATATGCAAAGGCAAGAGATGCACGTCGAACATATATTGCTCAGTTAGGAGTGATAAAGTGACATTCCAAATCAAAAGCATGCTACTAACTCACACTTGTGGTGGGACAACCTATCATGGCTGGGCAAGTGTGACATATTTGGCTAACAAGTACTTAGAGGACATTTGACTCAACCCAGATTTGAATGTAGGTGATTTTATGATAAAGGTCCACAAGGACTTGGGAGTTAGTATTACACCTAATGTGGGGTATAAGTTAAAAGCAAAAGCTAAACATATGACACATGGTGATTTCATGTCCCATATAGCAAACTTTGGAGCTACTGTGAAGAACTTCAAAAGGCAAATCCTAACTCTAATGTGTTCATGACTACAACTGAGAATAATGAGAGTGATGATGAGTTTCAGAGATTCTATATATGTCTAGATGGTTGTAAAAGAAGGTTTCTGCAGGGTTGTAGATATGTTATAGGTCTTGATGGATGTCACTTAAGAGGGTGTCATAAGGGAATTCTTCTCACAGTCGTTGGTATTGATCCAAATGACCAACTATTTTCGATAGTGTATGCTGTAGTTGAGACTGAAACTAAGAACTCTTGGAAATGGTTTGTAGAAGAGCTAAAGAGGGATCTTGAAACTATTGATGAAAGCATTTGGACATTTATAACCAACAACCAAAAGGTAATATATAACTAACTTTATCAACCTTGTTGTTATGATAAGAATTACTGACAGTAATATAGGTTTGTTTTTCATTGCATTTATATAGGGGCTAGTTCAAGCTATTCAAAAGGTACTGCCAAGGGTTGAGTATCACACGTGTGTGCGGCACATGTACAATAATTTCAAAAAACAACATCCAAACCTAGCTCTCAAGGAAAAGATATGGGTTGCAGCACGAGCTTCTTATAGGAATAGATTTGCTGGGTTGATGGAGTCACTAAAAGAGTTTGATGAAGGTGCTTACAATTAGCTGATAAACCATACTTATCCAAAGGAGTGGACAAGATCTCATTCTAGAACAAATGTAAAATGTGATATTTTGTTGAATAATCTATGTGAAAGCTTTAACTCCACAATCCCCTTGATGCTAGGCAAAAACCAATTCTTGACATGTTGGAGACCATTAGGTTTTACTTAATGGTTAGGATGGAAAAAAAGAGGGAATAGATAAAGAAATACATTGGGGAGATATGTCCTAAAATTCTAAAAAAGTTGGAGAAAAATAAGTTTGTTGCAAATGACTGCATTCCCAGCCATTGCAAGGACTGGGGATTTGAAGTTAGGTGCATGTATGGTGATAGGTATACTATAAACATTATTAGTAGATGTTGTAGTTGTAGAAAGTGGGATTCAAATGGTATTTCTTATGCACATGCTATTGCTGCAATTTGTGACATTGGAGAGGAACCCGAGAAGTTTGTGCATGATTGCTACTCCAAAGAAGCATACATGAGGGCATATGAACCCATGATAAGCCCAATGAATGCTGAACAAATGTGAAAAAATTCTGACATGTTGCCTGTGCTACGTCTTGAGAATATAAAGTTTCCTCGTAGACCATGAAAGGCTAGACGAATGGAGAGCCAGATGAACCAGCATCAGGTAAAAAAACAAAATAAGCAGCAGCAAAAGCTGTCTAGAATTGGGCAAATGGTGTACAAGTGTAAAAAATGTAACAAGACTGGCCATAATAGTAAGAAGTGTCCAAGCCAGACACAAAATGCCTCTGCTGAGATTGATTTACATGGTTTTGTTAGACCTACACCTCCAGTTCCCAAGTCAAAAACTCAGATGTCTGAGGATGTCATGGCAGATGCACCATTGCAAAGTCAACAATCTACATCAAACTATTTTTCTACTACAAGTATTCCAGTGAGTATCACAAACATCTTTCGCTTGTCTGCTTTCATGTTTTACCTTTACGTTGTCTAACAAACCTTCGTTAAAATTGTCAAGGTGGAGAATATTGGGTAGTACAAGTGCTCTATCTGCCACCAATATGGTCACACCAAAAGTAGGTGCATTTCTACTGTTGTAGAGCTTTCTCGAGGGCAGGCATATGAATCCTCAAAGATCAGTGGAAAGCAAAAGGAAAATTGAAGTTGGTGCATCCTTCAAATGTTACTAAGTGCTGGTGGCTTGTTTAAGCATCTTTTGGTGGCTTTAGCTACAACTTTTATGTTGTATTTTGCTCCTGGGATATTATAGTTCATGTATTAGGACTTTAGCTAGGACTTTTGCACTATTATGGTTCTTATGTTAGCTGTTAGTTTTTGGCACTGCTCTAGAGAGCATCTTGGCTGCTTCAAATATTTGCTACAAAATTCTGCTGCTTATTGTCTTCAAATTCAATGTTAAGAGACATGGCTATTCATCAACTTTCTTTTACATTAGCAAATTTCCCTTTCCGACAATCAATTGTAAAATGATACAAATATGAGCCTTTCCTATTACACAATAATTAACAAAAGTTTAGCAGTTCCTATTACACAACCATTAACAAAAGTGTAGCAGGTACAAAAAGCTTTTTTCATTTTGGATACTGCTACATACTCTCGGATTCACAGTCTTCCATAATGACATATATCACAACTAAAACAACATATTAGACCCAACAGCTATCTTCCAATTTTAGTTCAACTCCAGCTCATTAACAGCAGCAAAGTGCATATCCAAGAGGCAACCAAACCAGTCCAAAGCAATTTCTCTCTTCGGATTCTCCATTCTTGATCAGTTTCCAGTCGGTTGATTGTTCTTAATAAACCAGGTATTATTGACACAAATCTATTACACATTGGCGAGTCATACCACTTGAAGTAGCCACAAGCACGAGTTACCTAAAATGCATATCAAGACCAAATTTTAACCTCACACCCCAAACCCAAATTGACCTGAAATGTTTAGAAAGCTTACTCCATAATTTGGACAACCATAGAATCTTCTCCCCGGATTTGTAGGTTTCCAAGAAGTCACAATAATGGGCTCCTTTCCACAAAGATATCGCTCGTTGTTCGGATCCATTTTACTTTTCAATTTGTCAGCTTTTTCTTCACATTTTCTTGCTATTCTTCCTCCATTACACAGCCCTGGAAGCTTTTTTCAACCGGAAATATAAAGGAAGCTTGTGGACTTTTCAACTGGTGGAAACCTATATTCTTCCTCCATCATGTGGGGAAATATGAAAGAAAGATGGCATTTTTCAATCGGAAATGAAGTGTGTTTTTCGGTTTTTTCCTTAAAATGATGCCCACGTGAGAGAGACGTGCTATTTTCGGTCGGAGAAATGAGCAGGCATGAGTATTATGACCAAAATGGATCATAATTTAAATGTTAGGGACAATTCTGGCTGATTTTAAATGTTAGAGACTAAAAAAGTTTTCTTCAAAAATGTTAGGGACCAATTTGGCCAATTTCTCAAAATAAAATTAAAACCATAAAACTGCCTAATTAATGACATTATATTTAGGTTTTTCTCTACATTCACCACAAGTACACAATCAAGTACTTTTGCCATTCACCACAAGTATATATTGATAAGTCACAATTTTGTTATTTATTTTTTAATTAATTTCCTCCTATTATATTATCAAGTGTGCATTAATTGGCAGATTCTACTCACTTTTGGAAATTTGTATTGATTGCAGGGAATTGGGATAAAATATGGTAAAAAGGCACAAACAAGGCATAAATAAGGGAATTTGAGTAGCAATCAACAAGATGGAGACTAATTCAATTCGGTTTCCTTATCTATTGGAGAATATGCGTCAGACTTGGAGTAAAAGGAGGACAGTTCCTTTCTTTTGGTAGTTTCCAAAGAAGGAGGAAGTCGACAAAAACTAGAACTCCCTTTGTTTTTCTTTGGCTGGCAGCCGTATGAGAGTGGACAACTAGGTAGATAGGAATTAGATAGGACAATAGCAGACCATCTTTATTACTTTTACTTTTTGACTTTTCGTCTTATTCGGGCTATTGTTCTTATTCTATCGTTTTTGTTTATCTTAATTGGAGACAATGTATGCAACAATGAATTCTGCAAATCTGCGTGAGATTGATTCACCAGGAATAAACTAAATCCCTTTTTTTAGTCAAGGAACAATGGAGGATTTGGTTCATTTAAAAATTGTGAGATCGAATTAATTTCATTTATTCCTCTTATTTATTGGTATTTACACGTTCTCTGTTTGTAGTGTTTATGGTTGTTTTGTTAATTGAATATCTTGGACCCGGACGTTGAATTAATTTAGCAACCTGATGTCAATTAGAGCGTTAAATCCGTAATTTTTCAATTGCTCTAAAATAGGAACAATTGGCATGATTAGGTTTGTGTCAGGAGAATGCGCAGGTTAATCTGAAATAACCCTGGTAGTGTGTTATTTGGTTAAAATAAGGCTCCTCTAATACGTAAAGTAATTGGAGAATTAAATCTTACAGGCGTACCTAAGGTTATTTTTCAATTAGAGTAGTGATTGATGGGCGTACCTCAGTCATCGACACAGTAAGGAGGAGTTGACTGTCATCGCTTGTTTGGCAGTTATAATTTATTTATTAGTTAATAATTGGAAGTATTTCTGCATCGATGATCAATTAGTTGAACCATTGCCAAAGTTGCTTCTTGACTAGAGCTGTCCAATACTATTTGAGTTTTTACCTTATTGTTACTTAATTTTATTTAGTTGCAATATTTGATTAGTATAACTTATTGTTAATTTTCCTAAATACCCCTATTGTTAATTTGAACTTTAGTAGAAACGAATTACTCCCAATCCCTGTGGATTCGACTCAACTTGCCCTAAATACAAATTAACAAATTCTTGTGAATAAATTCTGGTATATCGGATTCAGCAAACTCTTTAGAACCAGGGTGAATCAAGTAATCCATTGCACATCCAGAGTCCCTACTCCAGCACTAGAATTGACTCGAAACTACTTTTGTTAGCAACTAGGTTTATTTTTATTATTGTACAAGTATCCACAACCTGTCATATATTGACGAACTGTAAGATTCATTTTCTATCAACACTAGAATTAATTACTTGAATGGAAGCACAAAAGTTATCTACAGACATGCAAATGAATGCGGTGTTGCAAAAAGGAATGTGGAAAAGAGTGGGAGATGGGTCTACTATCAACATATAGAGGGACAAATGGATAATGGAATCACCAACTGGGAAGATAGCAACACGGAAACCTCCAGCTTGTAATATGGAAACAGTGGCAGATTTGATAAAAGAGAGGAAATGGAATAAGGCACTGATCGAGGAAACATTCTCAAAGGAGGAAGCATCACAAATTCTGGCCATGCCTCTAAGTTTGTTTCCCATGCAAGATACGGTCTACTAGAAGTACTCAAAGTCAGGAACATATACTATGAAATCAGGATATGCAGTAGAAAAGGAGGAGGTAAGGAAAAAAAACAAAGAAAGTCAAGGTGAGGAAGGAACTAGCTATGCACAGAATAAGGACAAGGTGTGGAAGAGCTTGTGGGGATTGAAAATGAAACCAAAGATCAAATATTTCATATGGAGATGCTTACACAACAAACATTCCCGTGAATGAGGTAATACAGAAAAGAACAGGAAAAGGCTCTCCGTTATGCAAATGCTGTGGGGAAGGGGAGGAAACAGTGGAACACATGATCTTCTTTTGTAAAAATACTGAACCTATATGGAAACTGGCCCCAATCTAGTGGGACGGATTACTTCAATGGAGGTCAAACTTTTTGGAGGTGGTGGGAAGGTATATTACAAGCAAGGAAGAGACAAAGAGGAGAGGATCACATCACTTTAACAGCAAACATCATCTGGCAACTTTGGAATGCAAGAAATGCTCGATAGTATGAAGGGAAGTATAGAGATCACATGTCCATATTAGAAAGTGCAAACAGTGAATGGTTGGAAGGTAAAGAGGAGCTGACAGAAAACAATGAAAGGCACAGAACAGGAACAAGTCACCAACTGCAAAACCACCAATGGAGGCCACCAGACGCAGGAGTTGTGAAAATTAATACCGATGCTGCTATTCCTACTAAATTAGCAGGAGCAGGGTTAGGAATGATAGCGAAAGATGACCATGGAAACCTTGTAGAAGCAAGAGGTACCAGGAAGTATAGCAGAGGTGGAGCTGAAATGGAAATGGCAGATGCAATCCGACAGGGACTGCTAATGGCTAAGGAAGTTGGATGGCAAAGAATAGAAATGCAATTTGATTGCAAAGCTGCCATTGAACAAATCCACAAGAAAGGCGAGGAGGAAACACCAATTGACACCATAATGGAAGATATAAAACAATTGAGTGGCATGTTCCAGTACTGTTCTTTTTCTTTTGTTTATAGAGATGGAAATAGATGTGCTTATCAACTGGCACAATTTGCAACTAAACTTGTTTCCAATATAGTATGGAAACAAAGTTTTCCTTTGTGGCTCAAAGAGAGTATACAGGAGGATAATAGGACAAATGTGCACTTTTGTAATTAACATCTTGTATTATCAAGATCACTATATATACAAAGAGAATACCGTTTGGACAAAAAAAAAGACAAGCAAATGAATGGAGATCAAATTAGATGAACCGTTCCAGTAATGTATTCATTTCCGAGATGTGTGTATATATATAGAATATTGTTATAAAGGATAATGTATACAAAATTGAGGTGCATGGTATTTTGGAGACCATGCTGATTGTGGGCCTAATCTAGTGGTTGAGAGTATTGAAAAGGAAACTCTAGATTTCAGCAAAAGACGGAATACAATTTCCAGCATCTCTGCTAACTCTTCAATGCTCGAGTCCACTGCCTCAAGTTTTTTGATTACTTCCTTGTTCGACTTCTTGTCGTTCAACAGATCCAACTAGATTTCTATTTATTCCATTGCCGCAATATTAGATTCTTCTTCATATGATGATCTCTTCTGCAGTAATAACTTCGATACAAAGGACCTAGCTTTCGGTTGTGACCTTCCAGAAAGGAAAGACAGAACAGACTCCAATACTAGAACACTAACAAGTTGAACTTTGACTAAGTTAACCAAAGGGACATCTTCAGAATTTTTGCTTACCACTATTAAGTTGCAGTTCTTCTCAGCTTTCTTAAGCTCTTTGTAGCATTTCCTGATAAGATCTGGCTTTATTGGACAAATCTCCACTTCTCTTCCTCCGTAGAGATGACTCAAGTTCCTGGATACTTTCCTTCATCTGTGAATAGATGTCTCTGACCACCCTACAAATGTCCAACAGCCTGAGAGATCTATCCAGGACCCCTTCTTCCAATTTTCCAAGTCTTTCATTGTAGAGAGATTGTTGAGTCGAAGGGAGTTGAAGCAGATCATCCAGACACTCGTACAACCTTTTGACACAATCCAATTTTTGGCATGCCAGTGAATGTAAGGGTGAGGATGCAGCTTCTAATGACTTCAACCTTTTGCAGGAGTTCCTCAACATTCACATTAAGTGGATGTGAAGAAGAAGGCAAGCTAATGGAACGAGTGTGGCTAGATAATTTTGGAGTTGCCATATTTTTCTTAATCAAAATGTAGCAATTGGAGGTTGAACTTTATGTCTTAAGAAGCCTGTGGAGATGTTGAAAATCGAATTCATCTCCACTTGTATATATGGGGAGTAAATGGAACAATAGGAATCTCATCCTTTCTCCGTATAGTTGTAATGTCTTAATAAATTTTCTGCTTGTCCTTGGTTTTGTCTCGTTGGTGTGGGATCTCAGAAGATGGATCTGGTACTGAGATCCCAATTAGGAATAAATTATCAATGCATCCACCGTTTGGACCACCAACTCCAATTCAAAGCCAATCATGCTGGTAGAGTTTAATTTTAACAATGAACCATCATATGCTGCCTCAACAATGAGGGCATCCGAAATGCTCGTGCTATATTAATTCCTGCAGCGTCGTTGCCTGCTATAATACCTGATCGTGGATATTTTCAATTACCCTTGCACGCGTGTGCTTGACGTTGATCAAATCATGTTGCTCAGCCATTCATCTTGCTGCCATTGATTCATTTGATTTTGATCATGTTAATCACCATGCTTATTGCCGTAATACTAAACCCACCAACGTGCAATCATGGCATCTGTTTGTTACAAGCAATTGTGAATAATGCAGCTGCTTCCTTCCTTAGGAAACAACCACATGTTCGCTAGAATTATATAATTGCTAAACCAATCATTTACCTTATGCAATACATGCACTAGTGTTTTTCTTTTCCAGGTAACACGAGCAGATGGTTGGCCTTACCAGCTTATTGATGCATCTCAAGGATGAAAACCTATTATCTAAAGTTGAACTATTGTCTATCAAGATTCCTTTTGCTTTTCAGATCGTGAAGGTGCTATGAAACATGATTTATGATATTCGTGTTTGTCAACTTCAGGAAATGTGATTAAGAACTGGACCAATTGTTGTCTCAACTCTCAACTTGAGTAGGCAGAGTTATGTGGTCATCGATTTTAATTTGTGTAGGACACATGTTGAGTCAGAGAATAGTCTGGTTTGCGGTTTTGTATTTTTGAATATAAAGCTGATGCCAAAGAAATGAGTTGATTCTCCAGCGACTATCAAGCTTGTATGTTCAGTCTTGCAGGCTTCCAACGTCAACAAAATGGGTGATTCTCTCACTAACTATCTAAGTAACTTGCCATACTCAACCAATCAGTTTGCCATCTAGTTCTCATATGATGACTGCTAGTGTTGAGGATCATGTCAGAAGGTCAAGGGCTTGTTGCCACATTTCCTAGGCCCTTTTGATACGTAGTGCCTTTTTGTGTTCCGCCAAGATGCAGCAACTTAAGTAGCCTGAAAATTTTGCATGAAGATTTTACTCATATGGTTCAGCTGCGGTCAATCCAAAATGCACCAAAAAGTTGGAAAAAAAAAGGCAAATAAGGTCCTAGATGGATTTCTGAGCTTCTTGAATGCTTGTGGTTTAGGTAGAGACATTATATGCCTCTTTATCCTTGCTAAGTTTAAAATGTCTTCATCTCAAGAATATTAGTAAATTGGCCTCCTATTACAAATTTTATTGGTCATGTTGAGAAGAACTCGGATAACAAATTTTTCTACAAAACCTGATGGATATGAGAAGAATTGAAGGCATGGAGTTGAGTATTTCAAAAAATGCATCTGCAGAACTATGGAAGAAGGATGCAGATGCAACTGTGTTTGTAATTTACATTTTCCAGATCAAGTAATTCAGACATTACAGAGAAGGAAAGAGTGCATTTCCATAATTATTCAAAAAATAGAATTGATTTTGTAACCTTTTTTGAGAATGACTTCTAAACACTTTGCCATTGATATGGTAGACCTTGAATCTTGTGTTTCTACCCACGCGTGTCAGCTGAAAGTAGAGATACGAATTCAGTTTCTCTGATTTCTATGAAAAATAGGTGAAGACAGATCAAAGAAGTATTAAAAGGCCTGTTCATTTCACTTTGTGCACTCCAAATTGTCCATGGTTCTTGAACCATTATATATTTTTAGTCACGATGGATTGGGGCTTTAAACATAGAAGAGAATGTTGGGTAAATTGTAAAGAACCGACAAATATGGTGACAAGAATTGGTTTCAAATCGTAATAGATATCACTTTCCTTTAAACTTTATTTGTCCGGTATAACGTACAATAACCTTGAACAAATATCCTTTAGGATAAGATGAAGTTTGTTTGTCTTAAACTCTTGCACAAAGCAAGACAAACTCTTTGGGAACTAAGGAGTGCTTTTGAGAGAGTATACAATAATAGGAAAGTGATTTTCTGCAGCAAACCACTCTCTACTTAATCTCTTTATATAGGAAGACTGTTTGGGAAACAAAAGAACTCATTAAACACTTGTATGAATAGATTCAAAGTATTGTGTACAAATTCATGCACTTTAATTCATGCATCTCATGATCCTTAGATCAAAACATGAATCTATCCTTTCATTCAAGAATTCCCATATACATGAATACATTCATAAATAAATGTACATTTTAAAAACATTCACAATACTATACATGTACCAAAAATTAATGAATATACATTAATTACATGTATGTATGTAATGATCCCACATCGGCTAGGGAGAAAGTCCTGGGGCTGCTTTAATAGCCTGTAGTGGTCTCTCCCACCTGACCGAGGCCTTTTGGAGGGGTGCTGGGCTTTTTGACCTGCGGGTTTGGGCTTTTCACTTGTTGTGGGTTATAACCCCACCTCCAGAAACAAAACCCACGGCCTAGTGGGGCGGCTAACTGTGGGACAATATTGGTCAGGGGCGTTAGAGTTGGTATCAGAGCCAACTCCCGACCCCGGTGTGCCAGCGAGGACGCTGGGTTCCCTAAGGGCGGTGGATTGTAATGATCCCACATCGGTTAGGGAGGAAGTCCTGAGACTGCTTTAATAGCCTGTAGTGGTCTCTCCCACCTGACCGAGGCCTTTTGGAGGAGTGCTGGGCTTCTTGACCTGCGGGTTTGGGCTCTTCACTTGTTGTGGGCTATAACCCCACCTCCATTCTAACGCCCCTGACCAATATTGTCCCACAGTTAGCCGCCCCACTAGGCCGTGGGTTTTGTTCCTGGAGGTGGGGTTATAGCCCACAACAAGTGAAGAGCCCAAACCCGCAGGTCAAGAAACCCAACACCCCTCCAAAAGGCCTCGGTCAGGTGGAAGAGACCACTACAGGCTATTAAAGCAGCCCCAGGACTTCCTCCCTAGCCGATGTGGGATCATTACAATCCACCCCTCTTAGGGAACCCAGCGTTCTCGTTGGCACACTAGGATCGGGAGTCGGCTCTGATACCAACTCTAACGCCCCTGACCAATATTGTCCCACAGTTAGCCGCCCCACTAGGCCGTGGGTTTTGTTCCTAGAGGTGGAGTTATAACCCACAACAAGTGAAGAGCCCAAACCCGCAGGTCAAGAAGCCCAGCACCCCTCCAAAAGGCCTCGGTCAGGTGGGAGAGACCACTACAGGCTATTAAAGCAGCCCCAGGACTTCCTCCCTAGCCGATGTGGGATCATTACAATGTACATCATACAAATTTTGAAAAGTTTCTAACAATCCCCCGGCATTTTCAAAATTTAGAAAATGGATTTCAAAAGGTCACCGAATAATCTGACACTCATATGCATAAATAATAGCGTCTTTCGATTGAACTACTATCTTAGTGAAGGTTCTTTGAAATTAATCCTTCAAGATGGTAGACAAGCTTTGAACCACTTGGACATTGGACCAATCTCATAAACACATCACACACTGAGTAATGCACAACCATAAGTTCTTCAATGATACATTTTACGGCCTTGTATCACTATCCTTTCATGAATGTTTACAAAGTAAAGTCCTTAACTTTGTGGTTTGCCGAAAACCAACATTCATATAGGCAACATCTTAGTGCCCCCACCACAGATAGCACTTTTAAGATTCGTTAAGAGTCCAATGACTCACCCTTACATTTGTACTGGCGAGAATGACATGCACTATTCAACATTGGGATGTCTAAACTTCACATAGTGCACCAACCACTAAAATGATGTACGTTCACTCATTGAATTCAAGATTAGATGTTGTATCTAGGGTTGAATTGAGGTTTCATCATTAGTGATCAAGAATTTTGGACTTTAAACCCATCCTCCTTGATGTTTTTGACACCAAATTTCTTGATAATCCTTTTGTTAAAGGATCACTCAAAATTTCATTGGATCTCACAAAGTCAATTGATATGACTTCATTTGTGATCAAATCTTTGACATAACTATATCTTAAACCGATATGTCCTGATTTACCATTATACACTTGACTACATGCTTTAGCAAGTGTAGCCGCACCATCACAATGGATTGAGATAGGCGACAAAGGTGTTGGCCACAATGGTATATCATAAAGTAAATTACGTAGCCATTCAGCTTCTTTACAGGCCAAAGCAAGTGCTACAAACTCTGCTGCCATTGTTGAATCGGTGATACAAGTTAGTTTCTTGGAACCCCAAAAAATTGCACCTTCATCAAGCATAAAGATCCAACCACTTGTCGACGAGTGATCATCTTTATTGGTGATCCAACTAGCATCTGAAAATCCTTCTAAAACTGAAGGATAACCGATATAACATATACCATAGTCCTTAGTGGCATTTAAATACTTTAAAATTCTGGTTACACCTTGCCAATATAACCTATTAGGGTTGCTTGTATATCTGCTCAATATACCAACTGCATATGCCATATCAGATTTAGTACAAGTCATTGCATACATTAAGCACCCTATAACCTTGGCATATTCTATTTGAGATTTTGGATCCCCCTCATTTTTCACAAAATTTATTTTGGGATCCAATGGTATTGAGGCTGGAATACAATCACTTTGATTGAATTTGTTAAGAATCTTTTCAATATAATGTGATTGAAACAACATTATATTGTTATCATGTTTAAAGATTCTTAGACCA